AGGTATATCCTCATTTATAAGCACACGTGATGAATGCTAATGGTTAGATACCTGAACTTCACCTACGAAAGCATAACAATAAGCATGAAATGTAATAAATGTCCCTAACATTATTTATACCAAATACATAAGAGGAATATTGAAAAAATTAATACCATTCTTTATCCCGAAATTTGCTGTAGAACAGCGAAGAGAATTGATCTCTCAAAATAAGCCAAATTGGCAACCTATTTATAAGGTCTAAAAAGACTCATTTTTCACAAGGAAAATGACCCCTACCTAAACTATAATAACGAAATAAATAAATAAGCAAATCCTAACCATTAAAGAACTCTAAAATAATAAAAACATAATAAATGCTAAAATAAAAACGTGCATAATTAAATTAAGTGACTTGAACATCAAGTCGGCTTCTCGATCACCCTTCTAATCTCGCGTAGACAATTGGCTGTGCACGTGCATGAACTTCATGCTCAATTACGACACTGTTAGACTTCGAATCTCTCTCCTCTCAAAACATGAAAGTTGTGGAACTCCCAGTTGGCTATTCATAGCAATTTGAATCTTCTAAATTGGATGTCATATGGGAGAGTTATAAGCCGAATGGTAAACTCTGCCAGAATCATACGGGACTTTCGGGATTCTTGAAATTCGACTTGTCTAACGAATTTCCGTTTTCTTTTCTTCCAATTCCAAACTATTGACATCTCAAATATTAGATTCAAGCCTTTCTTCTCCAAAGAAAACTTGAATAGCCTCTTTAAACTCGTACGCTTGCGCTTCTTCCAATTCTTCATTTTGTGCAAAAATATTTTTCCTTTTCGTTAAATAATTCAGCAGATATTACAAAATACTATGGTGTACTATAGTATACAATGGTGTACTATGTTGTTCTATAGTTCACACTACCGTTACAAAAAAAAATCTACATATTAATATTGAAAATTACAAAAAAAAAAAAAAACGTGTTTTTTGTTTTTTTTAATTCAATCGACATATATTTTAATTTTTTTTTGATTTTATATGTTGTCAATAATGTAGTAGACTATGGTATAGCACGATGCACTATGGTATACTATGATGTACGACCAAACCCTAGCAACCAACAACACCCAATCCTCGCCAACTCTAGCAGTCAACGCATCAGCCGTCAAGCCCTAGCAGCCAACATCCGCAGCCGTCGCAACCGTAGTCACCTACTAACTTTAGGGAAACCTAGATTTACCACTTTAAACCCAATAAAGCACAATCTCTTGAAGATCAAGAAAATCAGATGCAAAGGGTAAAAAATATACTTTCAATCAAATCTCCATCGTAACCACATCCCACGCCGCTGCCTCGACCACCACAACCCCCCACCGCCGCCTCGACTACCACAACGGCACAACCCCTCGACGACGCCTCAACAATCACAGCCCCTCGCCGCCGCCTCGACAATCACAGCCCCTCGCCGTCGTCTCAACCACCACAACCCTCTGCCGCTGCCTCAACCACCACGACCGCCCGTCGCCTCGTCCACTACAGCCCCTTCCTTGTGCTAATACTGAAGAAAGCAAGAGATAGATATAGAGATAGACAGGTGAGAGAGGGAAATGAAACGAGAGTGAAAAGAAGATGCAAAGAACGTGTGAGAGAGATGGAGAGAAAGAACGTGAAAGAATACAAAAATAACGAAATAAATCTGAATTGGAGAAACGTGAATGGGTTAGAAAATTTAGGGTATAAGGGCAAGATTGAGAAAAAAAATAGGGATGCGGCTTATATATTATTTCAAACTAAGGATTTAATTAAAAAAATGAATTTGAACTTGTCATTTAATTCAAATTGAGTTTCATTTGAGAGGTTCATAGCATAGTACCCCCTTTTTTTTTGGGAATTGCTTTTTGCGGTTTGAAAATTGCTATTTGCGGTTTTTGACAAAACCCCCCAAAAAAACATTTTATTTCACTAAAACCCCAAAAACTTCCAAAAAAATCCAAAAACCCCCCCAAAACGCCTAAAAGCCCAACTTGGGCGCCCATTTATGCAGTGCACGCCCAAGTTGGGCGTGCAAGCTGCATTTGGGCGCCCGAGTTGGGCGTTCGTACACGGCTTGGGCGCCCATCTTGGGCGTTCGACCATTTTTTTGCGAAAAAAAAGCCCTACAAATCAATTTGTAGGGCTTTTTAACATGAAATTGGTTCCGTAATCGACCTACCCAATGCATATTACACATAAAAGAGTCGAAATTACATCAAAAAATCGAAGCCCAACCCTTCTTCAAGCTTGATTTCGAATTTTCGATTTTTTTTTTCTTTTTTTTTGCTATTTGCAGTTTTGGGGGGTTTTTTGATATTTTTAAAAGTTTTGGGGGGTTTTGTTAGAAACCGCGAATAGCAATTTTGTGACCGCAAATAGCATTTTCTTTTTTTTTTGGTTTTTGTGTATAGGTCCCTAGCCAATCATCTTTATTATTATAGATTTATGGGTTATATCTCTTTCACCAATAAGCTCATTCATTTAATATTTATTATAAATAAAGGAAATATTCATGTATATAGCAAAATTATCCCCAACCCTTTATACCCAATTCTTAATTGTAACCCAATTTAATCAATTTTGACCACAACAATCCAATTTTGACCTTTTTTCTTTCAATTTTTTTTTTCTTTTGCCGCCGGATTTCGGCGTTGACTTTTCGATTTTTTTCTCCTGGTCTGTATTTTTCGCCACCGGATTCCGGTGTTGACCGCCAGTCTCCGGCGTTGATTTTTTTTTTTTTCCGTTCGCCGCTAAACATTGATTGTAATTGTGCTGTCACTGACAGTAAATTAACGTAATTATACTGTCAATGACAGTTAATTAACGTAATTGTACTGCAGTTGACAATACATTTATGTAATTGTTCTGCCGTTGACAGTAAATTACGTAATATTATTATTTTTTATTTTTTGTTATGTTTGATTTGTTGACAAGTCAACGTACTTATATTACTGTCGTTGACAGTAAAATAACTGTAAACACAATAATTATATTGTCAACAACATCAACATTATTATTTTTTTGGGTTTTTTGTTTTGTTTGAGTTATTCACGGAGTAACATAATAATATTACTATCTATTATTGTAATATTACTGTAAACACAATAATATTATTGTGGTTGATTGTAATATTACCGTTGTTATAGTAATATTGTTGTCAATCACATCAATATTATTACTTTGTTTGGATTTTTTTGTTTGTCTGAGTTATTCACGAAGTAACGTAATAATATTACTATCTATTATTGTAATATTACTGTGGTTGACCGTAATATTACTGTTGTTATAGTAATACTACTGTCACTCACAGTAATATTAATTCTTTTGACTTTTTATTATGTTTACATTTGTTGAACGGTCAACATAGTAATATTATTCTATTACACAATAATAATGAGTTTTGTTGTGTTAATATTATTGTGCTAGAGATTAATATAGCAATATTACTGTGTTAAACTGTAGTATAGTTAATTTTACTGTGTTTAACAGTAATATAGTTAATATTACTGTCAATCACAGCAATATTGTTGTTTAAACGAAAAAGAGATGTTACAGAAAGAAAGAAGAAAAAAAAATCGAAAAAGTGAACACCGGAGACCGGCGTTGACCGCCGGTCAATGCCGGAAACCGGTGGTGGAAAAAGAAAAAAAAGTCAACGGCGGTGACGGACGAAGTTGTCCATAAAAATGTGTTTTGGGTCAAAATTGAATAATTTATGAAATTTGGGGTCAGTGAGGTTAAATTAAATTAATGGATGAAATTAGAGCATATTAAACTATGAGACATTGACTCATCTCAATCTTTAAGGAAGAGATCGGGTTATTTTAGTCTTTCACAAAAATCTGGACCATGTATGGACTTATTTGTAAATGAATTTATTATCTGGATCTCTTTATGAATAAGTACCATTGATGGACTTATTTATAAATACTTTTTTTTTTTGAGTTGACCAGCAAACAAAATATCATTACCTTTTTTACTGATCAACACAACAAAATTGCGGATTTTGTTTAATGTTTTTTGCAAAACAAAACAAGTTGAATGTTCCTTTTGAAAACAAGTCAATGTTGCAAGGGCTTTTATGAAATCATCTCTAGATTTTAAAGGTTCGGCGGAATGCGGATAATAATAATCATGGGTAAATTACAAATACCCCCTGAGGTATGACCAAATTACAAAAACACCCCTCTTGTTTGGATAATTACAACCACCCCCCTCAACTCATCAAATTTAGTGGAATCTTCGAGATTATATGGAATATTATCACTTTTGTACCCGTTTTATCCCATTCAAACTCTACATTATGAAGCAAGATGACCATAATATGTGATTTTTAGCTTGTATATATCAGTTTGTGGTGCATCGAAAACTGTATTTTTTACACAAAGAGTACAAACTAGAGCACATTTCACGGAATCTAGATGACTATGTTGAATTTGGCACTATGAAGGTAAGAAAAAATCATAGTTGAGGGGGGTAGATGTAATTATCCAAACAAGAGGGGGTTTTTTGTAATTTAACCATACCTCAGGGGGGTATTTGTAATTTACCCTAATAATCATTGATAGTGGAAATAATATCCAGCCAACAGGATATTAATATGATTTTTGACTAATATAGTCAAAAAACAAACACGTGCGAGTCAAGCACATAATAGGAAAAAACTAGAAATTAGGACAATCATAATTAGATTTGGGGAATTAAGGTAAAAATTAAAATAATATAGCTGCAATTCATTAATGCAATTCGAAAATTAAGTGTCATGGACAATAAAATTTGTAAAGAAAATATTGAAGGCAAAGCAATTGACTGAGAGAAAATTTCCAAAGTCCAAAACTGCCCTCCTTTTGCCATCATACCAAGCAAGTCTCCATCATCTCTCTCTCTCTCTCTCTGTCTCTCTCTCTAGGGAGTAGTAGATGATATATTAGAGAGAGAACTTCCAAAAGAGATATTTCCAAAGAGGCAGGGAATAGAAAGTGCGAAATCCTCGGGATCCATATACCCTATTTTTATGTAAAGGAATAATTATCGTTACAACACCCATTTCAATATCTGTCCTAATTTTTGTCCCTCTCTCTCCTAACTTCCTTTCTCACACATTACTCTACTATTAATACACCTAACCTCCAACCCTCCAAATACAATTACAACTTACAATCAATATATATATTTTCTTTAGAGAGAGAGAGATATATAGAGAGATGTGCAATATTAATGTTGTGGTGCAGGGTTGTTTAATTCATCATGTTATTGTGTTAATAATTGCTGTTGGGTTGGCGGCGGCGGCGGCAACCACCGTACCGGAGCAGCAAGAAGCGGACAGAGTGTGGCGGCTGCCGGGGCAACCACCAGTGGGTTTCAAGCAGTATGCAGGTTATGTAAATGTTAACATAACTCATGGCAGAGCACTGTTTTATTGGTTCTTTGAGGCCACCACTCATTCTCACACCAAACCTCTCCTCTTGTGGCTTAATGGAGGTATGTTAATGTATCTATCTATGTATCTATGCTTCAATTTTTATTAATTCGGTAACCTTTTTTTTTTTTTTTTTTTATATATATATATATGCAATATAATTCACATTATATTATACTTTTACTATGTAGCCCACACACACCCACGTACATACATACATACATACATATATATGTGTACAATTGCTGAAACACTAAATGAATTCTTGGGTTTGACTTCCATGATAAGTGAATTACAAGAAAAAATAGAGAGACCAGTTAGTATGAATATGATCTTCTATGCCAGCACAGACTAAATTAACTATAACTCAAAAATCATATATGTAAATTCATTTATACGTCTATTTAATTTTTTAAAGTCAATTATCTGTATTTTGATATAATACTCCATTAAATTTAGCTGTCTTTTGTGTTGAATTTAGATTGGTTTTTTTAAAAGTAAGTTAGCGGAACATTCTATATATTAAAGATTCTTCTATCTATTAGGTAATGACAAATGTTGTGTTGGAAGTATTAGTTGTAGGCGAAACTACTCTCTATATATCAAATTAAACAAATAACACAATTCTTGTGTGTGGAGCGTACTTGCTGTATATTACTTATTCTATGGAAAAAACTCATAATTCACACTATGCATTTTTACCTTTATCTACTTTCATTTCATGTGTCAAATACTTATACAAAAATAATCATTGTAGAAAAGAAGCACATATATGTTATAATTATTCAGTTTTTCCATCAAATACATTTTTTTTTTGTTTTGCCAAAGAAGAAACTGTTATGGCCACGGAAACATTAAATTTATTTTTATTTTTCGAAAATACCCAATATTAATCCAAACAAAGGCACATGTGATGTCTTTTGTGTGTGTGTATATATATATATATATACATATATATATTTATATATATATATCATCTAGATTCCATAATTCCTATAAACTCATTTTATGAACTTAAATTGTCTTCACTACAATCGGACGGCCCAACGCACCCCACTATAGAAAAAAAATCGCATCACCGACACTCTAATTGTGACAACATGAAAAAAATGTCAATAAATGCATATATTAAGTGACAATTGTTTTTGTTGTTGTCGCTAATATCTCTTTTTATAGTCATTTTAATCATTTTTTTACTGTCAGTTCACTATATAAAAATTAGTGACACCCTATCGGTATTTTTTGTAGTGCCCGATGGTCGCTTGGTCCTTTTTTCCTTATAGATTAATAATAGACTAAATAAATAAAAATATGCAAAAAGTGATGTAATTAATAACTATGCTGAACAAATGATGTAAATGTAAAATATTTTCAGGTCCTGGATGTTCATCGATAGGGTTCGGGCAATCAGAGGAGTTAGGACCTTTCTTTCCTCAAAAGGGAAATAAACCACAACTTAAGTTTAATACTAACACTTGGAACAAAGGTAAATATTTAAACATCGTATGTGTTTACGTTCGCCTTCAATTATATTTATTCAATTAATTATTTTTTTTCAATTTCTTGTGCAGCGGCGAACTTACTATTTTTGGAATCCCCTGTTGGTGTTGGATTTTCATACACAAACACAACTAGTGATATTAAACAGCTTGGTGATACTATCACAGGTACTATTTTAATGCTTATTATTTCAAGATTATATTATATTCTTCTAAATATAATTACAAATAATCATTATTATCTAATTAATTCATTAACTATTTTCTAATTACATGATTAGCTCTGGATTCATATAACTTCTTGGTGGGCTGGTTCCGAAGGTTTCCACAATTTAAATCCCATGACTTTTTCATTGCCGGTGAAAGTTATGCTGGTATGTTTTTTTTTTTAACTTTTATAATTTAGTTTTGTCAGATGTTTAATCAGTTACAACAATTGATTATTTCGTTTACACGGTTATCGTTTTCAGGGCACTATGTGCCTCAGCTTGCAGAACTTGTCATAGACAAAAACAAGAATGCACTTGAAGATGACTATATTAACCTCAAGGGCATTATGGTGCGATTTCTCTAATCACCGTCTACTAATTATGAAGCATATGAATCTTTTTATAATATATTTTTCAAACAAAAAATAATAATTTATACACGATTAGTTATGATAATTAATGTTAATTTTTCCATGCATATTTATTTATTTTCGTACAGATAGGAAATGCAGTTTTGGACGACGAGACGGACCAAAAAGGGTTGATAGACTATGCATGGGACCATGCAGTTATATCGGATGCATTATACAGGGAAATACAGAAAAAATGCAATTTCAGCATTGCTAACTTAACCACAGATTGCAACGCTGCCCTCGACAAATATTTTGATGTTTATGATATTATAGATATGTATAGTTTATATGCTCCGACGTGTATCGATACAAATTCCACCACCACTGCGAGACCCTTTTCACGCGTGCCAAGACTTATAATATCCAATACTGTGAGTTTTATTACCTTTTAAATGTATAATTAATTCCTCTTTATTTCTTGTTATTAGACAAGACTTATATATAATTAAGTCGGAATTCATTCTTTCTAATTTGAAGTTGTTATGAATTAATTAATTTACAGGATGGAAGGCGTATTAGAAGGCAATTATCGGGATACGATCCTTGCGCGTCAGAATATACTGAGTTGTATATGAATAGGCCTGATGTTCAACAAGCTCTTCATGCTAATGTCACCAAAATTCCTTATCCATGGACACATTGCAGGTAATTAATATTGCCGATTTTCATAAATTAAAAATAAATTAAAAATCAAATAAAAGAAATATATCCAATAATATACCAAAATTAATTAACTGATTATGAATGAATGTAATGCAGTGATAATATTACATTCTGGAATGACGCGCCTATTTCCATACTCCCGATAATTAGCAAACTTATAGCTGAGAATCAACGAGTTTGGGTTTTCAGGTAATTAATTACTAGTTAAAGAGATGAACTAGTGTAAGTAACATTTTCTTTTATTAATAATTATTGGCAGTAGATGAATTAATAATTATTTATGATGAATATAAAATAGTGGAGATACAGATGGTAGAGTTCCAGTGACAGCAACAAGATACTCTCTAAGGAAGTTGGGATTACATATAAAACAGGATTGGAGTCCTTGGTATACATACAAGAAGCAGGTTCGTATAATTCCATTAATATAATTAATTATTTATTTATATATGTATAGTTTTGTGAATGTAGCTAATTAAGACAGGCTTTAATGAATGGTGGTCCTATATATATATATATATATGATGTATGGTATAATGTATGTATAGGTTGGGGGATGGACGGTTGAGTATGAAGGATTGACGTTCGTGACAGTGAGAGGAGCAGGACACCAGGTCCCAACATTTAAGCCGAAGCAAGCACTTCAACTAGTTAATCATTTTCTCAAAGACCAAAAACTCCCCTCTCAACCCTTTTAATTTATCCATCATTCATTCATTTCCAATAATAAATTCCATCACAACAATATTTGAATATTTGTTTATGTCAATGTATTAGTCTCTAAAATGTGGATCCATGATTCTTTATACATGTATACTTGTTTTGTTTTTTTTCTTGAACCTCGTGAAATTCCGAAAAAATTATAATAATAATAAAATTATATTAGGACAATTAACATTAAGCTACATGAATAAACTTGAATACATGATTAGAAAATCTAGTACATTAGCTAGCCTTTTCCAAGCTATATAACTAATTAATCCATTGCAATTAATCAAAAGACAAAATCTTATCATTATCATGTATACTAGAATTCCTCTTCTCCGAACACTCCTCGGATTGGACCACCAACATGCAAGATGATGTTCATGAGCATCATAAGCTAGTCTTGTTGGTAAATAAACTACCTTGCATATAAAACTTATTTGGTTTACAAATTTTAGTCAGTAGTCAGTTGAAGGAGAATTGATCAGCTAGCAAATTCTCATATTTTAGTTGGAAACAAAAAGAAAAAACCCCAATTAATTTTAAAATGAGGTTCTTGCTCGCAAATACCTATTACCAAAAACGTTTTTTCTTTCCGGTCCCTATACATTTTTTCTTTGTCTGCATTCCATACTTTTAACTTTTTCTTATACTTCACTACCTACCTCACACGAAAAGTCGGGAATGCCCCTCACTTATATAAATAATACAACCCTTATTTTCCACTTACAAAAGTGCTACTTCCCCGTAAAAGTGTGTTTCACCAAAACCGGGTTTTCTATACATATAAATTTATTTACTTATTTTTTCTTTTTTAATTTTTGTTTTGTTTTTGTTTTTCTTTTCTTTTTTTTTTTTTTTGGTTTTTTTTTTTAATTTTTTTTACTTATAACCAAACACTCCATATTCCTACTCAAATCAATTATTTTAATTCTCAAACAACTCCAAAGTTTACCCAAAAAATAAAACTCAAAAAACATAGGCAAAAAACGATAATTTTTTTCCCAGATTCTCATCATCTCTTCTTCTCTTCATCATCATCATCATCTTCTTCTTCTTCTTCTTCTTCTTCTTCTTCTTCTTCTTCTTCTTCTTCTTCTTCTTCCTCTTCCTCCTTCCTCTCTTCCTCTTTCTCTTCCTCTTCCTCCAATTTCCTCTGTCGCGAACATTGACGCACACAGCGACGATACTTTTTTGGTACTCTAGGAATACGGTTGTGCGGAAAGTTAAGAATTTTTTAATATATAAATGATTAGTAGCCATTACATAGCTCTAAAACATGTTTAGAAACATCCATAAACTAAATTCATACGGATTTATATGGTTAATAAATATGTAGAATATATATATATATATATATAAATTCTACATATTTATTAACCATATAAATCCGTATGAATTTAGTTTATTGATGTTTTTACACATGTTTTAATGCCAAGTAATGGCTACTAATTATTTATAAATTTAAAATTTTAAACATTCTGCACAAACGTATATGTTATGTACCGAAAAAGTATCGTCGTTGTGTGCGTCAATGTTCGCGACGAAGGGAATTGGAGGAAGATGAAGAGGAAGAAGAATACAATGAAAAGAAGTAGAGATGATGAGAATGTGGAAAAAAAATCTCGTTTTTTTTTTACTTGCGTTTTTGGAGTTGTTTGGGAACTAAAATAATTGATTGAAGTAGGGATATGGAGTGTTTGGTTATAATTATAGTAATATATAGAAGAAAAAAGAAATACAAAATCAATTATCGAGGGGAAAACATGTAAATTCAAGTGACTAGGGAGTGAAGTATAAGTGAAAGTTAAAAGTAGGGAGTGCAGACAAAGAAAAGACGTATAGGGACTAAACATAAAATGTTTTTGGGAAACATGTATTTATGAGGAAAAAAGAGCCAGACAATGTTTGGAAGCGTTTTGGATCTTATTTTGATTTCATTTTGAGGAAATATGTTTTCGGGGAATAATTTGAGAATGAAAGTAATGTTTGTTTGTATTTTGGAAGGAGACAAAATACACTGTAGCTGTCAAATCATGTTTAAAGGTGTTAGAAAAATGTATTTTTGAAGGAAAAAATTGAAAGAGGAAGTGATGTTTATTTGTTTTTTAGTGAAGACATTTTTCACTGTAGCAGTCAAATCATTTTACTGTAGCAGTCACATCATGTCTGAAGGAGAGAGAAACTTTTGAAATTGTTTTGAGAAAATGATTTGAAAAGTGTAATAAATCTCATTTTGTTTTGGGGAAACAGTGAAAACAAAACAGAAATGGTTCCAAACATTGACCCAACGTCTAACACCATTTCTGTCTTCATTATGTAATTATATTTCTTGATACCCCGTCGTGTTTAATATTTGTTCATTATACCCTCAAATACCTTAACAACAGACGTTCAACATCATTCAATTAGCGGATCACAATATTTACTGTTAAAATAGTAGACTAAAAGTCTCTAAATTATTTCTGTAAACGATATTATTTTAATACAATTTATTAAATTTAGTCACATATCCTGCAAATGGATATTTAATGCATTTTATTTATATGTTTAATTAATTGCATGAAATCTAGTATTCTAATATTACTCGAAATGGTTCGCTAATTTGGATATACCACTCAAAGATCATTCACAGTCTAGACGGAATGGGCCTACCATCAAGAAATTTTTAAGTGATGTGTCTTGATTGTACTTATTATAAAATATTTTTTTTCTTATTGTTTTGACTTATTCTGTTTGCACATTTGGCATGTGTTGAACCAAACAAAGTGGTTGTTTCATATTTGTTTAAACGTGCACATTATTAGTGTGTTGTGCCTAATGGGTTTTTTTTCTTCTTCTTTTTCTTTTGCTAGAACCTCTAAATTATGCATTCTCATAGAGTTTGGATTCGGTACTATTAATTACTAATGCAGAAGGAACTGGTTTCCTTCTTAGTAAATTCCTTGTGCAAGTCTTTCTAGGTCTATATATATAAGATTCAATAGAAGATATAAACTTCGTTTTTCATATAGAATGACCGGCCATCAACATACTTTAATGAAATATTTTTCTCAAAATTTGTGTCAATATTTTGTTAATTATAGCTCTAAAGTTCGTCAACTAGTAGGCCACCCTTATAGAAACACAAGATATACAATATAACATCGAAGGTCATAAGAGAAAATTCCATCCCTTTAATATATATTATATAAATAAAGGCAAACTTAATGTTTATGACACCATTACCCCCAACCATTTAAACTCAATTCCTAATTGCTAGGATGCACGGACTCGCCAAACACTAGGAGAATCCGCGTATCGGACACCCGACTCGCGCGGACTCGCCAGGACACGGCTCGGACACGGTATCGGTCTGTATCCGAATTTCCATAAAGTATTGGGGTGGGGTGTCGGGCGGTTTTGCAAAAAAAATAAAATATGGGCACTTCCCAACTTGGACACGGCGGCTGATACTTACTTCTTTACACGTTCCTTTTTTTTTTTCCATAATTGCTTTTTATTTTATTAGGAATCTTTCACTATTTCAAATATTTTATTTTATTTTATTTTCTAATTAAAACATAAAACAACAGAAAGACAAAACCATATAAAAATCTTACCATTGAACAAAAAACCAACCCTAATAAAATCAAGTAATCAACTAGCGCGGCAACATCGAGTGGGTGCTTGGACGGTGAAGGTAAATTTTCATTGGCTGATTATAGATTATCGTTATATGGATTCTCAATCTACCGGTAGTAGTGTTAATTCCACATTGGCGACTACAAAAACTAAGGATAACAATCTCCATCCTTTGTGGAAATATGTGATTAAACTTGGTAAAGCGGGGGAAGGTGCCGGTGGTAATTGTAGATGGTTGTGTACTTTCTGTAATGAAGAAAAAAGAGGGAGTTACACTAGAGTTAGGGCTCACCTATTCCAAATAAGTAATAAAGGGATTACTCCTTGCAAAAAAGTGAGTAGAGAAAGTATCACCGAAATAAAAAAATTAGAAGAAGTGGCGACACAAATAGCCATGAATTCACAACCTAAAAATGTGTCTTTGCCTACTACCGGAAATACAGCCATGAGTTCGTTGTCTGGCGGTACAAGTGAACAAAATACTTTTAATGTTTTGAAAAGGCAAAAAGCCGGCGATCGTGATAATCCTATTGCTAAAGCTTTTGATGCTAATGTTAGGAATCAATTGGATGCATAGATTGCCAGAATGTTTTATACTGCAGGTTTGCCTTTTAATTTTGGAAGGAATGCTTATTATGTGAGTGCTTTTTTATTTGCTTGTAATCACTCGATACCTGGTTATCTTCCTCTTGGTTAGAACAAATTGAGAACCACATTGCTCGAACAAGAAAAAACGCATGTCGAGAGATTGTTAGAGCCGATCAAGAGCACATGGTCAGAGAAAGGGGTTAGCATCGTGAGTGATGGTTGGAGTGACCCACAAAGAAGGCAGTTGATTAAAGTTATGGTTGTTTCTGACTGTGGGCCGATGTTTATCAAGGCTATTGATTGTTCTGGTGAAGTAAAAGATAAAATTTTTATCGCGAGTTTACTGAAAAAAACTATCGATGAGGTGGGGCATCAAAAAGTGGTCCAAATCAATACAGATAATGAGAGCAATTGTAAGGCGGCTGGTGAACTCATTGAAGGTTGGTATCCTCATATTTTTTGGACTCCTTGTATTGTTCACACTCTGAATCTAGCTTTGAAGAATATTTGTTCGGCTAAAAATATGGAATCCAATCTAGAGACATATGATTTGTGTAGTTGGATCACCATTGTTCATGGGGATGTTGTGCAAGTAAAAAAATTTATCATGAATCATGCGATGATATTGGCTATGTACAATCGATTTGCCCATTTAAAATTGCTTTCAGTTGCCGACACTCGATTTGTGTCTATTGTTGTCATGCTTAAAAGATTTATACTTATCAAACGTGCTTTACAACTATTAGTGACGTGTAACCAATGAACAACATACCGAGAAGATGATCAAAGCAAAGCAAAATTTGTCAGGGACACAGTGTTGAGTGAAGAGTGGTGGGAAAAAGTTTCATATATTCTAGCCTTCACTGAACCTATATATGAGATGATTAGAGTTTGTGACACGGATAAGCCATGCCTT